GGAGGGTGATGGGGATGGAGATGTGGAGGGTGATGGGTATAGAGATGTAGAGGGTGATGGGGATGGAGATGGGGATGGGGATGGAGATGTGGATGGTATATTTCTGGTGCACTTCCATGTGGCAAGAATGGTGTTTGCTCCTCCAGGGACTTCCCCAAAGAGCCTGAGAAAGCATTTAGTAAGTGTTGAGTGGAAACTTATAGAGAATAGCTAGTATGTTTGAGTGCACAGCAGTCAGAGCTATTTGCTTATTTTATTTTCATTTTTGAGACAGTCTTACTCTTTGTCCTTGGGTAAAGTGCCTAGCATTGTAGCTCACAGCAACTTCAAACTCCTAGGCAAGTTATCCTCTTGCCTCAGCCTCCACAGTAGCTGGGACTACTGGCATGCACCACCATGCCCAGCTAATTTTTCTATTTTAGTGGAGACAGGGTCTTGCTCTTGCGCAGGCTGGTCTCGAAGTCCTGAGCTCCAGTGATCCACCTGCCTTGGCCTCCTAGAGGGCTACGTTTACAGGAGTGAGCTGCTGCGCTGGGCCCCATTTGCTTATTTTAGAATTTTAAAAATTCTTCCCTAAGCATTTGGCTGAGCCTGATTTCCTATTTACTATGGTTCCTTCCCTAGCCAAAGAGAATAGTAGAAGTGATGATCAGCTTATGGTATTTGGGAAATTTTTCCCAAGATAGATGGGAGCCTTCCATCATTGAATTTATGTTAGGAAGAATTCAGGATTTGGAAACTCAGGACTCACTGATTCTCCCTGGAATGATCACCTGCTTTTCCCTTGCTTGCCTTAGCCTTTCAGCAATGGATTAGTGACGGTGATGGTTCCCCAGCTGCGGAGGGAAAACAGCCTCCTCCTGTGGAATGTCTTTGACTTGAACACCCCAGTTCACACCTTTGTGGGGCATGATGATGTGGTGCTGGAGTTCCAGTGGAGGAAACAGAAGGAAGGTGAGTGGGAGAGGAGGTCTCTGCCTGTTTTCCTTCTGAGCTCTGTAGGACGCAGCACCAGTCACTATTGCCATGGAGTCCAATAAGGAGAACACAGAAACAGGGCTGGGCTTTAGGAACCAGAGAGCCAGGGGCCACTACTGCTAATCAGAGGTGGGTGAAGAGACTATGTGTCTGTTGGTCTTCCTTCCAATTCCCTCTTTTTCTGGTTGTCAGCATAGTCACCCCCTTGGAAGAGATATGCTACTGTAAAGAGGTTCCCAGAGGTGTGTTGTTGGATCTGGGCTGACTGGCCTCAAAAGTTCAGGGCATTTGCCCCTTTCTGCTTGTTGATAAGGGTGACTCAAGTTTTTATTGGTGCTGTCCACCATATACCCCCAGTTTTCTTCCTAAGCATGTAGTGGCATTTTGCACCTCATCTGTGAAGAGAGGTTTAGCCAAATGACTTGCTTTGATCGTGATGCATGAACAGAGCTGCTGCGGTCTCTCTTGGGTTGAAGGGCAAGGAGTCGGTGTGTAGCTACATGTTCCCTTTGCTTCTGCCGTGGCAGCTGGCAAAGCTCCAAATGGAACTGCTCCCAGCAGATCCTGGCAACACATGAGGTAGAGACATAGAACAAGCCAGAAGTCTTTGCTTTAAGCACCATGCTTTGGGGGTTTGTTAGTGCAGCTTCACCTGGCCTCAGTTTCTCCGTTTCTCCACCACATCAACATGCAAGTTGAGATGCAGCCTCTCTTGTCTTGGGGTCTTATTGTCATGACCTGTAAATGTTTGAAGAATAGAAATTAATTTTCTCAGTGTTCCCATATTATAGAGGAGAAGCCGGGCAGGTGGCGGAGCAATCCCTAGTGGACCTGGGATTAGAGCAGTCATCTTCTATCCCAGCTCATTTGTGACCTTCATAAACCTCTTCCAGGATATTTACTAAAGGGACTCTTGATCATCCTCTTAACTTTCCTTATTTCTGAAATTGCTCTTGTTTTCAGCCTGAAGCTGCCTGGTCTTTTATTCCACCAATTGCATGCAAGGCTTTTGACCTTCAACTTAATCACCCGTAATTTGTCATAGGAAATAGATAGATAGTGTCTTTTCCTCAGAGTCTGACAGGGAGGGGTTGAAATTTAGTTTTGTGGCTCGGCGCCTGTGGCTCAAGTGGCTAAGGCGCCAGCCACATATACCTAAGGTGGTGGGTTCAAATCCAGCCCAGGCCCGCCAAACAACAATGACGGCTGCAACCAAAAAATAGTCGGGCATTGTGGCAGGTGCCTGTGGTCCCAGCTACTTGGAAGGCGGAGGCAGGAGACTCGCTTGAGCCCAGGAGTTGGAGGTTGCTGTGAGCTTTGATGCAACAGCACTCTACCCAGGGGGAGAGCTTGAGGCTCTGTCTCAAAAAAAGAAAAGAAATTTAGTTTTGTTTTGAAATAAAAAGTTTTTATTTTTTCTTTTTAATTTTTTTTTTTTTTTTTGAGACAGAGTCTCACTCTTTCAGCCTTGGTAGAGTGCTGTGGTGTCACAGCTCACAGCAACCTCAAACTCTTGGGCTTAAGCAATTCTCCTGCCTCAGCCTCTCAAGTAGCTGGGACTACAGGTATCTGCCACAACACCCAGCTATTTTTTTTTTTTTTTTTTGTAGTTTTTGGCCGGGGCTAGGCTTGAACCTGCCACCTCCAGTATATGGGGCCAGCACCCTACTCCTTTGAGCCACAAGTACCACCCAATACCTAGCTATTTTTAGAGACTAGGGCTCACTCTGGCTCAGGCTGTTCTCAAACTCTTGAGCTCAGGCAATCCATCTGCCTCAGCCTCCTAGAGTGCTAGGATTACAGGCGTGAGCCACTGTGCCTGGCTAAAAGTTTTTATTTTTTTATTTTTAAAATTTATTTATTTATTTATGTTTGGAGACAGTGACTCACTTGGTTACCCTTGGTAGCGTGCCGTGGCATCTTAGCTCACAGCAGCCTCAAACTCCTGGGCTCAAGTGATTCTCTCTCTTTTTTTTTTTTTGTTAGCAACAGAGTCTCACTTTGTTGTCCTCAGTAGAGTGCTGTAACATCACAGCTCACAGCAACCTCCAGCTCTTGGGCTTAGGCAATTCCCTTGCCTCAGTTTCCTGAGTAGCTGGGACTACAAGTGCCTGCCACAACGGCCTGGCAGTTTGGCTGGGGTTGGGTTTGAACCCACCACTCTCGGTATATGAGGCCTACTCACTAGCCACAGGTGCCACCCTCAAGTGATTCTCTTGCCTCAGCCTTTCAAGTAGCTGGGACTACAGGCACCCACCATAACGCCTGGCTACTTTTAGAGATGGTATCTCACTCTTGCTCAGACAGGTCTTAAACTTCTGAGCTCAAACAATCCCCCCACCTCGGCCTCCCACAGTGCTGGGATTACAGATATGAGCCACCACACCCAGGCTTGAAATAAAAAGTTTTTAGTAACCCATTGTGAATTATTTGTGTCATCTTTAAGCTGCTGGGGTGAATTGTGTAAATTGGAACTATCTAGCCAGTAGTGAAGTTTTGTGTACAAGTTAACACATATTTTTTAAAAGAATTCTTTTTTTTATTGTGAAACATAATCCTGTATCTGGAAAGTTGCATAGAATGTGTACAGTTTAACAAATAATTGTAAAGTTAAAATTTATGTTAACTGTCATGAAGGTCAAGAAAGAGAACATTGTCAGAATTCCAGAAGCCTCCTGGTCACAATCCCCTCCCTTTCCCTAAAGCATCACTATCCTAATGCTTACCATAGCAGTTTCTTGTTTTTGAGACAGAGCCTCAAGCTGTCCCCCTGGGTAGAGTGCTGTGCCATCACAGCTCACAGCAACCTCCAACTCCTGGCCTCAGCCTCCCAAGTAACTGGGACCGTAGGCGCCCGCCAAAGCACCTGGCTATTTTTTGGTTGCAGCCGTCGTTGTTTTGGTGGGCCCGGGCTGGATTCGAACCTGCCACCTCAGGTGTATGTGGCTGGCGCCTTAGCCACTTGAGCTACAGGCACCGAGCCACCATAGCAGTTTCTGTGTGTTTCATTTATGGTTTCACCATCTATTTATGAATTCCTAAAAATAGTTTAGTTTGCCTGCTTTTGAACCTTTTATAAATTTAATTAACCTTGCACGCATTTTTATTCAGCTGCTCCTTGATTTATAATGGGGTTACATCCAATAAGTCTATTAAAAGTTGAAAATATCTTTAAGTTGAAAGTGCATTTAATACGCTTAACCTTCTGAACATCATAGCTTAGCCTAGCTTACTTTAAACATGCTCAGAACACTTACATTAGCCTGCAGCTGGATAAAATTATCCAATACAAAGCCCATTTTATATTAAAGTATTGAATAGCTCATGTAATTTATTGAGTACTGTACATTCCATCAGTATTGTCATGGTTTTGCAATATTGTAAAGTCAAAATCAGTCCAGTCAGGGTTTTTTTTTATTTTTTTTTTATTTTATTTTTTTTTGAGACAGAGCCTCAAGCTGTCCCCTGGGTAGAGTGCCGTGGCATTACAGCTCACAGCAACCTCCAACTCCTGGGCTCAAGCGAGTCTCTTGCCTCCGCCTCCCAAGTAGCTGGGACCACAGGCACCCGCCACAACGCCCGGCTATTTTTTGGTTGCAGCCGTCATTGTTGTTTGGCGGGTCCGGGCTGGGGATTCGAACCCGCCACCTTAGGTGTATGTGGCTAGCGCCTTAGCCGCTTGAGCCACAGGCGCCGAGCCAGTCCAGTCAGTTTTTAATGACCACCTCATGCTTTGGTTTTGATTTTCACTGTGCTGAAGCATCTCTCAGAGAGGTAGAAAGATAATAAGGATATTGTAGCCAAGGGAGAATGATGCTTCATGAAGGAAAGTGTAGTTACTGGTTTCAGGTGTTGCTGAAGAATCAGAGTAAGAGAAAAGCTTTTATCAAACAAAAAGGTAAGCCATGTACATGTGTAACCATTAAGGTAGGAGCGCTAGCCCCGGTGTGTGGCTCATGCCTGTGATCCTAGCACTCTGAGAGGCCAAGGTAGGTGGATCATTTGAGCTGAGGAGTCCAAGACCGGCCTGAGCAAGAGCAAGACCATGTCTCTAAAAATAGAACAACTAGTCAGCTGTTCTGTCAGATGCCTGTAGTCCCAGCTACTTGGGAGGCTGAAGCAGGAGAATCACTTGAGCCTAAGAGTTGGAGGTTGCTGTGAGCTACGATGACACCACAGCACTCTACGGAGGGCGGCAGAGTGAGACTCTGTCTCCAAAAAAAAAAAAAACAGAGAGGAGTTCCAAAAGTGAATTGAGGATAGAAACCAGATGGTAAAGTAGCGTCAGCAGAAGCAGCAGGAACCAGTTTTGTGAATGAAGTTACCTTCAAAGGCAAGGATTAGAATAGAGCCTGCCTGCTGCCCTATGGAAAGACAGGGAGAAGATGCAAGCTCAGAAGTCTGGGAAACCAGGGCCCACGGGAAATGGGTGGGGATGGGTTGGGAGGGTGAGGATTGAGTTTAGGAAGGAACTGGGAGTTACTTTTCTCTCAAAATCAGGAGCATGAAAAGAGGCAGATGTGAGACCAGAAATTGTTGACATAGTCAACATAGGCTAGAAGATGGCGCCCACGGCAGGCAGTGGTTCAGAATAGCTGCTGTCTGGCTAGCCATGCCCAGGGAGGATGGAAAGCCAGCGAAGAGTAAGTGTCTGGTGAGCGTGAGAGCTGATGAGGAGGAGAACTAGCCCTTGTTTCCCTGCTCACTCACCCTGTTACCTTGGGCATACCATGTTCTTTGTTGCCTCAGTTTTCCATCCCCAAAATGAGGGAATTGGATGAAATTATTTCTAAATTCTTTTCTCTCGGAAGATATTTACAAAGAAGATTCTAGATACCGCATAATCACCCCAGAATGTCCTGATCTTCGGTAAAGCTCTTTCATAAAGTCCTGAACATTTTCAGAGTAACTTCCCTTGGACCAGACCTAATATGTGAAAATATGATTCCATCCGTTAAGAACCTTAAGGATTAATTATTCGTTTTACAAAAAGATACATCCCTTGAATGGTAAGATGCCATGATGCATTCGAAACAATTCATTTTACAAAAAAAGATATTCATCCTCAGCTCTTCAAGAGCATATAAAAGGCAGAACACTGGTAGAGGTGAAAGTTTGGTGTCACATTAAATCCCAACATTACTCTTTACCTGCTAATTTGCTAGTTATTATTTCACTTCATTTAAGTTTCTGCTCAAATGTAATTTCCTCGGGGAGTTCTATTTAAAAATAGCTCCATCATCAGTCTCTGTCCTCTCATCCTGTGTTATTTTTTACACCAATTATCACCACTGGGTGTTCCATGTTTGTCTGTTTCCACCATTAGAATGTGAGAGCTATAAAAATAGAGATTGTTATTCCTGCTATAGGCCCAGTGCCTAAAATAGTGTCTCCCATATAGGAGATGTTCAGTAGGTATTTGTTGGTTGGATGGATGGGTGAATCTCACTCATTACAACCTGTAGCAAAGTGGATATTGAATCCAGAGGAATTTCCAGGATTCTCATCTGGTGATTTCCAGGGTCCAAGGACTACCAGCTGGTTACGTGGTCCCGGGATCAGACCTTGAGAATGTGGCGGGTAGATTCCCAGATGCAGAGGGTATGTATTCAATGCTCTTGTGGAGGAAGAAATGTAAGATTCTGTCTTTGTGGAGGTTAGAGGTCACATGGGAGACATTTGGTGCGTACTTGCTGTTTGGCTGAGTGACTTGTGTATGCCACACTGAGGCTTTGAGATCTTTAAGAGCCAACTTCAGGATTCAGCACCTTCGGGCCAAAGAGCCTCTGCCTTTTTTCTCCTGTCCTTGTAGAAGATGGAATGGGTAGCATACTGGGCAAACGGCCTGTGGGATTCATTTCTTTTTCTTTTTTTTTTTTTTTGGTATTAACTTTATTCTATTTTCTGTATAACTTTAAGTACATAAAGGTTTATTTCCACAGGCCTCAGGAAATGGGTAGAAATCACAGGACTATCTCTCTTCCCACCAAAAAAACATTTCTTTTTCTTTTTCTAAATGAACTAAGAAGCCTACTCTTGCACTTTGCAAATATTGAGAGCCTGCAGCACCCGTCAGCAATACTACTTCTTTAAAGCTATTTTCTTATTTTTTTACCCCCCGTGAATGTCTTTTTCTTCTATGAAGCGTAGTAGCACCTGATGGGAACTGCTTTGGTGACCTTTGCTCTGCTCTGCCTCATCACGGGGCTCTGCCCTCTTTCGATGGCTAAATTTCTTGAGGGCAGGAAAACTGTCTCACTTGCACGGCATCTCCCACAGTGCTTGGCACCCGGCTTCACAAAGAATAGATAGAAATAGAAAATTGCAACACCGCTTGGTATGAAGTCTCTCTGGAGCATTTGGGTCCAGTATTAACACCTTATTACCTTTTCAATCTATTTTCTCCAAAAGAGACAATTTGTACCAAGTGCTTTGAGGTTATGATATTTTTGCTCTTCGGTTAGAATAACTCCATCAGGGCTTGAAATTTAAATTAATTTTTTCTGAGGCTTGCATAAACTCTGAACATGATGAAAAATTTTCAGGGCGAAATAATAGTCTATTATCCTGTGTATTTAGCCAGGGAGAACTGGTAATGGGCAAAATCTATTTTGATAGTGTCAGTTCTTGGCTGACACATCTCTATCCTTTGTCATTGTGATTTTTAAGTGAGAGCTCTTTTTTTTTTTTTTTTTTTGAGACGGAGCCTCAAGCTATCCCCCTGGGTAGAGTGCCATGGCATCACAGCTCACAGCAACCTCCAACTCCTGGGCTCAAGCGAGTCTCCTGCCTCAGCCTCCCAAGTAGCTGGGACTACAGGCGCCCGCCACAGCACCGGCCATTTTTTGGTTGCAGCCATCATTGTTGTTTGGCGGGCCCGGGCTGGGGATTCAAACCCGCCACCTTAGGTGTATGTGGCTGGCGCCTTAGCAGATTGAGCCACAGGCGCCGAGCCTAAGTGAGAGCTCTTTAACCAGACATGATAATCATTTCCACTGACTTCTCTAGACCTCCATCTCCTGTCCTTTGTTGCAGCTTTGTGCAAATGACATTCTAGATGGTGTCGATGAGTTCATTGAGAGCATTTCTCTTCTGCCGGAGCCAGAGAAGACCCTGCACACCCAAGACGCAGACCAGCAGCACAACTCAAGCCACGGGGAGGAAGAAGGTATATGTCAAACCGATGTCTCAGGGGGCATGCCACTCTGCATGTCTCAGAGTTGTGGCTGACACCCAAAACTGCTCTCTAACTCATTTTCAAAAATGGCTTCCAACATGGAGCTTCTCTCTCCGGCTAGCCTTAAAGGAAGATCCCCCTAGCTGTGTCCTGGAAGAGAGGAAATCAGATCAACTGGGCCTCCCTCAGACCCTGCAGCAGGAGTTCTCCCTGATCAATGTGCAAATCCGGAACGTCAATGTGGAGGTACTTAGTTTAATGAACTGTACACTCATGCTTCCTGATGGCAGCTTGTGGGAGAGGGAGGATTTTGGCCAGAAGATGGTTCTGCTACTCTAATGAGTAAGCCTCTCTGCTTGCTTCTTATTTTCTAGGTTTTGTAAAGAAATTGGTGTTTCACAAATGCAGATTGTAGCCCTATTGTTTTCTTCTAAAGTGGGCCAAAGGATAAGCCGATGCCCGGGTACCTCCCAGATGCCCCAACATCTCATTTCGCTGTGTACCAAGATACTTGGATCTGGGTAGGGGGTGGCTAGTGACTCGGCCGGGGGTGCTGGCGAAATTAATGGCAGAACTGACTTTGGAAGCAAAACCTCCTGCCTCCCCAGGGCTTTTGTTGCTGTGCTGTACTAGTTTCCTTTACAAGCTTGTCATGTCCTTGGTGATTGAAGTCGCAGTGAGAAGGTGACTGAAACCTCTTTGTTATCCTGGGAGATTTACTCTTTTCCTTTGGGGCAGGTATTGAAAGTTTTTGCTTCAGAGAACTGAGAATTTCTCCAGGAACGAGTTTTAAAGCTTGATCAGTTTTTCTTTTGCTCAGATTCGGTTAACAGTAGGCCAGGGATAGGTGCCACAGCATAATTATCTCAATGGGCCTTTAAAACAACATTGCAGTCATGGTTTTATCCTCACATTACAGAAAAGGAAACTGAGTCATAAGAGACTTGTCCAAGGTCAACAACTATTTGGCAGAATAAACAATATTTGAACCCGAGTCTCCAGATTTCCCACATGTGTGGCTCTTTGCATGTATTTCAGCCACTGTCCCTAGTTGGCAGCCCAAGAAATCAAAAGATATGGCTGAGTGTGGTGGCTTGCACCTGTAATCCTAGCACTCCTAGAGGCCAAGGCAGAATGATCACTGGAGCTCAGGAGTTCTAGACCAACCTCAGCAAAAGACCCCATCTTTACTAAAAATTGAAAACTATTAGCCAGGCATCATGGTGAGCACCTGTAATCCCAGGTCCTCAGGAGGCTGAGGCAGGAGGATCACTTAAGCCCAGGAGTTTGAGGCTGCTGTGAACTGGGCTGACACCACTGCACTCTAGCCTGGGCAACAGAGTCAAACTCTTTCTCAAAAAAAAAAAAACAAACAAAAACATATATATGTATGTGTATGTGTATTGATTTTGTCCCAGTGAAGAAGAGTATGGATGCTTAGTGATTATTTTATTTTATTTTGTTTTATTATTTTTGCACTGTTGCTCAGGCTGGAGTACAGTGGTATGGTCACAGCTCACTGTAATCTTGAATTCCTGGGCTTAAGTGATCCTCCTGGCCTTAGCTTCCAAAGTAGCTAGGACTATAGGCATGTGTCACCACACTGGCCAATTTTTTTGTACGGAGGCAGTGTCTTGCTATGTTGCCTAGGCCTCTCTCAAACTCCTGGCCTTAAGCAATCTTCCCATTTTGGTTCTCTCAAAGTTAGGATTTTGAGAGATTTTGAGCTTCTCTCACAGCTAGGATTACAGACATGAGCCAACATGCCTGGCCTCGATCTAGTTTAGAAGATCTTGATTCCTTTACTTAGGAGTTTTTTTGTTGTTGTTGTTTGTTTGTTTTTTTGAAGCAGAGTCTTACTCTGTTGTCTTGGGTAGAGTGCAATGGCATCATCATAGCTAACAGCAACCTCAAACTCTTGGGCTCAAGTGACACCCTGGCCTCAGCCTCTCAAGTAGCTAGGACAATGGGCACCTGCCACAATACCCGACTAGTTTTTTCTATTTTTAGTGGAGATGGGGTCTCACTATTGCTCAGGCCAGTACCATACAGCTTTAAGGGGAAGTTTTTTAAAGTCTGAATACTTTGAGCTTATTACATTAGTACAAAAATTTGAAAATCGGTTTTGAAAATGAATTGCCTTCCATGCTCACTGGTCTTTATAGACTCTTTTCCTTCGCCCAATTGCGAGGCACGTGGAGTGTTCAGTTGGCATATTTAAATCCATTTGCATCTAAAGACGGTTGCAGTCTGTCTCCAAAGCAGCTGTGGGTTTGTCTTTTGCAGATGGACGCAGCGGACAGGAGCTGCACAGTGTCCGTGCACTGTAGCGGCCATCGCGTCAAGATGCTGGTGAAGTTCCCCGCGCAGTACCCCAACAACGCCGCCCCTTCCTTCCAGTTTGTCAACCCTACAACCATTACGTCTACCATGAAAGCTAAGCTGCTAAAGGTGGGGATCTTGAGTTCCCAGACTCTCCTTGCTGTTGTAAGAGAAGAATGCTGTTCGTGTGTATCAGTGTGTACACTAAGGAGTACAGTTGAATGAAAGCGTTGATGGATCCGATTCGGAAGTCATCTGGTTTTCACACACTGCAGTGTTCACAGCGTAACCACTTTACTTGGCCATTCACTTTGAGTAGAAAGATGAGAGCGCTGGTTCTTAACTTTGGGGGGATCATGGATACTCTTTTTTTTTTTTTCTCATTTTTGCTTTATTTTATGCAATCAGGCATTTATTTATTTTTGCATGATTATGTTTTCACTTCACATTTTTCTTTTTTTTAAATTTCAGGTTAATGTGAAGGTATAAACAACCATTCAAATTCAATATTTGAATTTGTTAGGTAGACTCCCTCTTGTAGTTGTGTCTCACCCCCCAAAGGTGTCCCATGTACCCCTACATTGTGCTCCATAAGTTGGAGCACCCCAAAGCCCCCTTTCCCCCCCCCATTCTCCTCCCCCCAACTGAAATTGAAATGAGTTTTTCTCCATCATGGGCACTCTTTGAAATTCTAAGGAAAATTATGGACACTTTTTCAGAAAAATTTGCTTAAAATTTCAGATATAGGAATTAGATATAATGTACCCATAATCCCACTAAAGCTCTACATTCATCCCAGGTTAGCTACCCTGTAATACCATTTCATTCATCTTCACACAGTGGGCAAGGTGTCTACCAAAGCTAAAAGATATTTTATAAGCTCAGCGCCTGTGGCTCAAGTGGCTAAGGCACCAGCCACAAACACCTGAGCTGGCAGGTTCAAATCCAGCCCAGGCCCGCCAAACAACAATGACAGCTGCAACCAAAAAATAGCCGGGCGTTGTGGCGGGCGCCTGTGGTCCCAGCTACTTGGGAGGCAGAGGCAGGAGACTCGCTTGAACCCAGGAGTTGGAGGTTGCTGTGAGCTGTGATGCCACGGCACTCTACCCAGGGCGACAGCTTGAGGCTCTGTCTCAAAAAAAAAAAAAGATATTTTATAATCAGAAAAAAATAAGGGTAATATCATTTGAAAAACATGCCCATCCTGTAAAAAAAGCCAGTGTTATCCTAGAGATAGGCTGACTGGCTGCACTGGCAGAGTCCACATGGAGACACCATAGCCTGGCATCTGACGTGTAAACCTGAAGATTCAGAAACTTGGTATATCATCAAATCGTCAAGGCTAATCAAATGGAATTGCATAAAAAAGCCACCCGAGCCAGGCATGATATGCTTTTTCCAATTTAACCAGTATCCTAAGTGAAGGAACTTAAGTGTCCTGATAAACCCAGAGCACCCAGAATGTTCACTTTTTTGCTCAGTGGCAAAAAAAGAAAAAAAAAGTGGATCATACACACTTAAATGTTCCATTTTGGTGGGTTATGACTTGTACGTAGAAGTTTTTCAAATGGTTAAGGATCTCTGAGGTGGTAATTACTCAAACTTTGTTTTATTGGACTTGTTAAACTTCAGATCTGAACATTTCATTGCTTCCTTTGGACATCCAAAGAAGTGGATCCTCTATTAGTATAAAGGATAGGATTAGGAAGCATCTTTTTTAAATTTTATTTTATTTCATTGGCTTGGCGATTTATTTAATCCAATATATTATTATGTCAATATATAATCAATATAAAATTATTGAGGCATTTTATACTTTCTTTGGACTAAGTCTTTGACATTCACTGTGACTTTTATAGCACCTGTCAACTTGGCCTAGCAACATTTAAGGTTCTCAGGGACCCCATGTGGATAGTGACAGCACAGGTTCACTTTATATGCCTGTCTTCAGTGTATATGTCAGTTCATGTCTATAGCATGTGCCTTAAAAAGTTAGGATTTATACTTTTAAATCTGTAGTCTCCAACCCCCAGGCTGCAGACCACTACCAGTCAGTGGCCTGTAAGGAACTGGGCTATACAGCAGGATGTGAGTGGCAGGGGAGCAAGCAAGGCTTCATCTGTATTTACAGCCACTCCCCACTGTTCACATCACTGCCTAAGCGCCTCCTCCTGTCAGATAAGCAGCAGCACCGAGTGCTCGAACCCTCCTGTAAACTGCACACGCAAGGGACCTGGATTCTGCACCCCTTGTGAGAATCTAATGCCTGATGATCCCAAGTGGGGATGTAAAGCACTCGAATCATCCTGAAACCAGTTCCTGGAGGCACGAAGGTTGGAGATTGCTGTTTTAAAAGACAAAAAAGATACATTATTATTGTCATCAAAGAAAAATCTGTTCCCCACGATTTGTCACTGAGAACAATTTTCAGTGCAGTGGGTGTTACTTTCAAGGTGCTAAGATTTCTCAAGGATTGAGTGGGGTCAGGGCAGAGGAAAGCCAGTCAGGAGAAATGTGTTTCTCTTCTTGACCCTGTTTTGGGCCTTTTCTAGATTCTCAAGGACACCTCCCTGCAAAAGGTGAAACGCAACCAGAGCTGCCTGGAGCCCTGCCTGCGCCAGCTCGTCTCCTGCCTCGAGTCCTTTGTGGTGGGAAGCTTGAAATTGCACCAACTTATGCTCTGGAGTTTTGTTTCACTTCTTTCTCCCTAAAATCGGGGGCTCCCTGCTTTGGTAATATCGGGTTCTTATTTTATAATTCAGCCCGCAGACAGGTTGTGGGTTTTAGTCTCTTGATTTTTCAATTTCAGAACCAGGAAGACAGCGCCTCCAGCAACCCGTTTGCGCTCCCAAACTCCGTCACACCCCCCTTGCCAACGTTTGCGCGGGTGACCCCTGCCTATGGGTCCTACCAGGATGCCAATATCCCCTTCCCCAGGACCTCTGGGGCCAGGTTCTGCGGAGCAGGTTGGCCTCTTTGTGGTTCTCTGATTCTGGACTTTGAGAGAGAGCAGCTAAGGATGTTGTATGTTTTGTATAAGCATCTTCAGCAGAAAGCTTTTCTTTTTTTTTACTTTGTGACTACTCAGAAAGACTTCTGTGGTAGCCTTCCAGGGTCTGATCCTGCACTGGTGTCTGTGGCCTTATCCTGAGAATGCTCGCCAGAATTGTAGCCTTACTTGTTTTCATGTGGATGAGCTGGGCTTTGAGTCCTCACTCAGAGCCCTGACTCCTGGTGGGAAAATGTCCCCCAGCAGGGAAGCAGAGAGTGGCTAGGAAGACTTTACCCCGTCCACATGCATCCTCTCTCCTGGATCCTGGAGAAGGACCTTTGTTCCCATTCAGATCACTGCAGCCATGAGCCTCTGCAACTTATGAAAATGTGTCTCACCCTCAGGTATTTTGAGACAGAAAAGGGATTGGCCGATCCTGCCTGAGGATGTCCCACGTCCAGACCGTGGACGCTCATGTGCACATGTGATGTCTCCTCCTCAGGTTATCTGGTGTATTTCACAAGGCCCATGACGATGCATCGGGCAGTGTCTCCGACAGAGCCTACCCCAAGGTGAGCCTGGGAGACACAGAGGCCATGTGCACTCATGGGGCCAGTGAGGGCAAAACCCTGGAAGGACCCCTGCCTTTGTCTTGTGATAATTAGCTTTAGTTCTTCAGCAAACTCTCATGATTAAGATTTACTCAAAGTTTGAGGTGCTACTAACACCTCTAGTTTACTGGATACAGGATAATCAGCACAGTTGTGAATGAATAGCTGAGCTGACCAGGCAGGGAGAGGCCTGGAGGGAGTGTGTGAGCAGACACTGCTGCTCGCTAGGGAGGCTCCAGTCTCTGCAGTAACCCAGGCAGATGAGACCTTGGCCCCACGAGAACTGGGGTTAAGCACCAGGGACGCCTGTGTTACACCAGATTCCTTACTGAAAAGGTTGGACTGGAAAACAATCCCCTCCTTTCAAGAAGGGAAACAACGGATATCTGTATCTGGACTGGGATGAGAGGGGAAAATGTTCTAATCTATTAAAACACTTTTCAACTAATAGCTCAAGTTTGCTGAAGTAGAAATTCCAATACACAAATCTAAAACAGACGGCTAGACTGGCAAGACTCAGGTCAGGATATAGAGCACTGTCCTCAGTCCTGAAAGGTTCTCGTTTCTTTTTCCAGACCCTCCTTGCGCAAAGGAAGTCATTGTCTTGACTTCTGTTACCAGGGGTTAGTTTGCCTGTTCTTGAACTTCACTGAAATGGAATCATGCAGCATGTACTGTTTTACGTCTGGCTTCCTTTGCTCAACTTACTGTTTCTGAACTTGATCCACATTGCTGCATGTATCAGTAGTTCTGTGGTGTGAATCTGCCAGTTTGTTTATTCATTCTCCTGTTAATGGATGTTTGGATTGTTCCCAATGTGGGGCTATGATGAGCAAACCTAGATATCCAAGTCTTTTTATGGATGTGTGTTAATTTCTCTACCCGTGGGGTAGAACTGCTTAGTAGTAGGATAGCTATGTTTGACTTTAGGAGAAACTGCCAATATGTTTGTGCACAGCGGTTGTGTCATTTACCCTCTGACCAAGTAGGTTGCAGTGCTCTGGTAATCTTGAGACAGAAAAAGGATTGGCCAATCCTGCCCGAGGATGTCCCATGGGACACATTTTCATAAGTTGCAGAGGCTCATAATCTTCATAAACCTGTCAAAAACTGGTATGGCCAATCTTTTCAACTTTAGCCATGATGGTGATGAAAGAGAGAGCAAACCGCCGTGTTTTGATAACCCAATCTCGGAGGTGACATGCTATTGCTTCTGCCATATTGGAGTGGTTACAGGGACTAACAGAAAAGAATTAGAAGCAAGGACTTAAACAGACACCTGTACACCAAGGCTCACGGCACCACGATTCACAGCAGCCAAAACACAAAAACAACCCAAGTGTTCGTCAACAAATAAGTGGATAAACAAAATACAGCAAACTCGTACAATGGAATATGATTCAGACATACCTGAGGATGAAGTCCCGGTCACCACATGGATAAACCCGGAAAACATTTTTATAAGTGAAAATCTACAAGTTTGGAGCATGAAATTCACGAATTCATCCTAGAGAAAGGATTCATTGCTGAAGATCATTCTGCAATGATGATCTGTAGCAATTTCATTGCTGAAATTCATTGCTAATATCACAATGGTGCCCAGACGGCCAAGGGGAGTCCTTCAAAGGGGACTGCAGTGACACTCAGCAATGAGGTATGCGGTACTTTTGGGGGGATGAGTTTGCAAACTTAATTGACCTCATAGACACAAAAAAGCAAATATATGATTCCATTAGGTATAGGAATTACCTAGAATGGGCAAAGTCATACAGACAGAAAGTAGAAGGGAGATTACTGAAGGTTGGGTGGAGGAATGGGGAGTTTTAATTTAAGGGTGCAGAGTTCTGCTTGGGAAGATAAAAAGTTCTGGAAATAGGTAGTGGTGATAGTTGGCTAGGTATTGTGAATGCACTTAGTGCCACTGAATTGTACGCTTACATATGGTAAAAATAGGAAAGAATAGTTAAAATGGTAAATTTTTATGTTATGTGTATTTTACCATAATAAAAGAGCACCTGGTCTCAGAGGGGGCAGGGGGATGCACTGACTTGGTAAGGCCCATGTAATAGAAACACTCTTTTTGCTAAACAGTGGTTAGCAAAAGGAATGCTAACTCCTTTTCCCAGGACACCTGTGCTCTCTTGGCCTGTGAGGAATGCTTGTATTTGGTCCGTTGGGGAATAAACTTGGAAAGATTAAATGATTTTTCAAAATCATTACCAAGGCTCTGTTGTTGCCACCTAAGAAAATCCAGCATGCAAACCAGGCACAGGGGCTCATGCCTGTAATCCTAGCACTCTGGGGGGTTGAGGAGGTTGAGCAAGAGTGCCGGAGCAAGAGTGAGACCCTGTCTCTATGAAAAAAAAATAGAAAAACTAGCTGGGGCTCAGCGCCTGTGGCTCAAGTGGCTAAGGCGCCAGCCATATACACCTAAGGTGGCGGGTTCAAATCCAGCCCGGGCCCGCCAAACAACAATGACGGCTGCAACCAAAAAAAAATAGCCAGGCGTTGTGGTGGGCGCCTGTGGTCCCAGCTACTTGGGAGGCTGAGGCA